TTTATGTTTTGCGGCCGTAGTAAGATAGGCACCTGCGACCACAGCCAGAGGCAGGTGGGTTTTTGGCCGCTTTGCACCAATTTGACCAGGGGCTGCCTGGCTTGAGGCGGGCAGCAGCAAACCATTGAACAACCGGAGGTGCCCTCCCACTGTCAGAGACAATGCGTGGCGCTCATGCTCTACGTTATTCAAGCGGTGAACTTATAGCACGTGGACCTGTCGTCTCCCATGGCTAGGTTTTACGGGAAGAGAGCCATCAACCACTTCCTAACCTCCGAAGAGGATGGACTAGGTTACTGGCAGGACGCCCACACCTGACAGGAGAACGACTCGGGTCCTCAGCCAAAGCCTTCGAGTTAATATACACCAAAAAGGCAGTGGGTCCAACACATAGTCAGTTCACTGACTCATGCGGATTGGTGTCCTGGATCTTAGCAGGGAGAAGGGCGAAACCCAACTCCCACCCAGCGGTCACTAGGAGGTGGAGTCCAGGACATGAGCCCATGGCACAACAGTATCAGCAGTGGGTAGATCATCTGTCAGGATCTAGCCACCGCAAGCTTCAGCGCACCATGCGCTCTCCCGCCCTCTCATATACGCTCTTATAAAACAGCAAACTCACCGGATAGTGAATGTTATCTGACCAACTACTGGGTCATATGAAAGTTGAACGCAGCTTGTATATTTGTCATGTTGTGATGGGACAACTGAATAGCTTGTTCACGTCTTGTACACTCAAGAATTTGTTGATGCTTGTGCGAAATTCCTTTTCAAGTGTCAGAAACGTACTCCGGCCAGCAATCTGTTCCAGATTCTGGCGAAACTGTTAAGGAAAAGGTTCACAGACCTGAGAATTCTGGACTTACATTCTACCAATGAGTTCTTGTTATTTCGTGTGGTGAAACGGCTGATTACATTACTCTCATGCTGCGGATGCTAACGTGTATATGTTTACGTAAGATGTTGAAAATATGACTAGCTTGAGTTTCATGCACCGTAGCCAGACCGAACCAGGCTTTTTCTTATCACCTCCTTCAGAATATTCAAATTTTGAAGAAGCCCCAACATGGCGTTTTGTGAATGCTCTGTGTACTAGTTCCATTGCAACGCGTTCGCTCATTTGGAGCTACTGTATCGCAGTGAACAATAATCCCACGTGGGCCGGACAAGTGCGACATAAGAAGGGGATATAGACACTTGGCGAGAAAAGTTCTAGACCTCAAACCTCTGCTCTACCGTCTGAGAGGTAAGGATCTACTTGCAAAAAGCCAGGTGTACATGAACTACCCAATCCCAGGCCGCGTGTCATAAGACAGAGGTTAATTTATTCCTGTGAGTAGAATTTTGTCATATATGGACTTAATAACACAACCATGCACCCGGAAAAGCATTGTACGACTGTTTAATTCGTTTGAGAACTGTCAGCGGCGTGCATTCCATCACACCGTCGTAGGACTCGAACCCTTGACTGATGCCGGCCTGTGGTTGCGACCGCTGAGCTAGAGAGAAGGCAACGACCGTCGTGGCTAAGTTACTGGATGTGATATAATGCCGCTCACTCTCCACTGACAGGCACGTTGCTGCAGTGCAGAGGACAAGGTATCCCCCTCAGCAAGCGACGAATTCACTAAACTTAAACCACCAATTAACTTAAGGCATTATAAACAATTTGGTCTGCACACCGATTACAAGGAAATTTTAGGGGATTTTAATGGTATAAGTAGTTCATCACATCTAGACTCCTTCAGACAACAGTCAACGTTAGTAACGTGCAACGCAACTGATAGTGCGAGACGCTATCTCACATTTAGTAACCTGGCCAGCGTGGTCGTTACCGTTTCCCATAGCCCAGTGTTCTTCACCACTGATTGGTAACAGTCGGTTTGCAGTTTCTTGTCTCACAGCGGCCAAGTGCAATGCGCATTGCTGACGATTCCCAAAAATATGAGAAAGTGGTACGCTACTTTTCCTGGCGTATGGTGTTTATCTGACTGAGCCTAGATCTTAAGAACTTATACCATTCGATCCTCCCTACTAGTCCCTTGCAATTATCTTTCTTTGGGTGTTTGAATTCATGCAACGCCACTCATGACCATGGCGACGACAGCAGAATACGGATGCAGCAGACAAGACAGGAAATGCGACCGTTTTAGTTACGGCTACTGGAATCGGTTACTTTATGTCACACATTCGTGCCTAGTTAGAGATACATGCGCATACATTTGGTGGGTTGGGCTGTAGCATGTTTCCAGACTGAACCACTGCTCCTTTCTTGCGCGAGCGTCAACGCTATGGCTGTCTTTTCTTTGATAACAGTATCAACCCCTTGGATCCAGTAACCGAGGCAACGGCACCGAAGAAGGAGACAAGTTTTCAACTTACGTGGGGAGTGCAATATCACAGAGAGAAGTTGGTGATGATTTAGGTCAGCTGATGCTGCATCGACTAGGACTAGTTACTTATATCATTGAAACGGGAAAGTGTTGTTTGAATGCATCGCATAAGTAATTGTATCAGGCCTAGTCAACCTTCGTCTGTCAGCGAGCTATCATCGACGTATCATTCCTATTCGGTTGGAGCACCTACAGTCGCAGGTACAGTGACATTATGTACAGCTGGTACTGCTGTGCGTCTGCTGTGTACTTATCAAGATTTTGTCCACGGTACTGAGGTTGGTCTCATTCAGCTTGACGACACTCTTGATACTGTTATCTCATCCCAGGCAGACAGCTTCTATCTGTTCCCTGAACCTGAAACCAGCGTCACTTAAACAGATACATGCCATCCTCATTTCCTGTTACGGCATGAACTGCCTACATTGCATTTACCGACGCTCAACCAGCCAGAAACCTCATCAGCCATTCTCGTTCTGTGAGCCATTGTAAATAAAGTTAGCGTCTGAATAGGAAAACAAAAGTCGACTTAGCAGAATGCGGTCATTGTGACAGCCTACGTGCGTTCTAGGTAGCAAGAACAAGACATTTTCTCCTGAAAAGTATAATAGAAGACAACGTGAAACTTCACAGTTAGGAAGTACAACTAAAATAGTATAAGTCATGCAATATCTTTGAAACTTGTTTGCGTATGTAGAAACAATGAAAATCTATCAAGTTGACCGCTGCGTACTTTTTGCTGTTAATCATATGAAAGTTCGCACATGTAATTGATACAATAACTTTATGGTCTAAAAAGCGAACAGTCTGCAACAAAATAAGCAATCCGACTGTATTAGCTTCGCCCTATCTCATTCCTAGGCAAGCAACGTACGCCCAAGGCGAACCATAACATTTACAGCTAGGTACAACTACAAAAGTCGCAACGTTTCCTTGAAGAATAACCTGGCTGGTTAACTATTCACTCGCAACGGAATATTCCTATGCCTATCATACAGCCGATTCGTCACGTTAGAAAGCATTTTGTCCAAATAGAAGGAAGAAAAAACATTTCAACAGGATTCGCTAAATTCAGGAATTTCAAGCCTTCTTGTCAGCTGTGAATTTATCGCGTTTCGTACCAAGTGATGCAAAGTGCAGGGTTGCTCAGTTTAATGAAAAACAACCAATAACCTCACCAAATAAAGCGAGGCTGATCTGAAACAATCTTTCAAGATAATTCACTGACAGAGAAAAACCCGTTTGCTTCAGTTTGCCGCAACCGCGGCTATTCGCCGACTGAAGCCTAATTTGTGCAACCACTGAATTTACGGGCATTATCGCCCTACGGGATCTACATTAACACCGACAAAAACACCCGAAATACTTGAGTAAAGCATATCTTGTTACAACGCTTTTTTTCTTACCATCTTAAAATTGATGAAAATGAAGTCGCGTTTGCAGTTTCTTAAGCAATTTTTTATATGATGGCATCCAGGTGAGTACCCATCAGGAACACTGTGCCCCTCTGTTATGACTGCCGTACCATCTGCATCGACGCTGCCGCGCCGGCCATAGATTTAATAATGTCCATGTACACAGTCTTCCTGTTGGTATCGAATAATACATGAAGCCCCAAACGAGCGTCCTGGGCATTTGCACTTAGTCATCGCAACCGGGTAACTTGTTTCTACGACGATGGGGTTTGAGGTTTGATCATCATCGTTGGATAGCCACGACAGGGAACTTCTAGATGTATAAGGACTTTAGTATTGAAGTATGTAAATGGGTCATGTCTCACACTGAGGTTAATTACTTCATGCAAAGGTTGATGCTGCATACATCATGGTTCTTCAGCGCAGTTGGGCTACACTGCTCTACATCTGAACTAGATCTTCATAAATTGACTAAAAAGTATTCCAGCTTATTTGATTTGCTCAGCTCTGTCATTTTGCTCCATATTCCATGTCAGTTTTGCGTGTTTATCTTTCTATAATTTCGTGTCAATTGTTTGATATCCCCGGCGTGGCTGCACTTGATGTTGATTTTGCCAGCGTGCCTACCTGTCTAACACCTCCACCTGGATCACATTCTCCAGGAAATGGAACTTTTGCTGGGGTGACAAAGTGTACGGTCTCGTGGCCGTGCTAGGCTCAAAGACTCATTACACCCAGTGTGGATTGCACTAAGACCTAGCCAATGCCTTGTGAACGTCTAGTATGCATGATTCCCAAATTATCTAAACAGGAAAGCCGCAGCTGTGCATGTTGAAAGAGTGTGGACTGGCTCCGTTGAGGAAACATGGCTCCCATCCACATGCTTTCCGGTATTAATACTTCGGCTTTACACTTAATAAGGAGTGTGGGGATGGAGCTGTGGGTAGTGCTGCGCAAGCCACTTACGTTACCTCTGTAGGCGCAGGCATCCTGTGGATGTCCCCATGGAGGCCGCGGTCATAAGTTATTCCGGAGCTGGAGACCGCCAACCATAATTGACGAGTAATTGTCGTGAAATGAATGAATTCGCATCAGTGTATTCGATTTAAACGGGGTTCACCATATGTCCATACTTCCCTTGCGCTTGGTAACATGTACCCGTAGTCCTTTTAATTTTCTCTTTTCCGTTTAGATTTTAAAGAAAAAATTGCGTCGCAAACGCGAGTACTCAAATTATTTAGAAGAAGTGTACAATAGTAACCGCAAATGGGCGAGTAAAACGGTGAATTGCCTCTCAGAAATCCACAAGCTGGTTCTAATTTTGCTCAGTGACCGGCCTGGTTCCATGGTGGCAAAGAAATCGGTCAACTGCACACCGGAAGTCATTCAACTGATCCTTACTCACCTAACGTCAATTCTAGAGGAATCTAATGAACACGATTTCCAGACACGGGAAAAAATCATACCTTTGCGCGAATCCATTGGAGATGATCGTGATTCGTCCAAATATAACAGTGAAACGGACGAAAGTAGTGGAATTAGTCAGCCGCACTCCAGTCGAGCAGAGGATAGCGAGCTGGAAATTTCAGAGCCAGAGATGGACTCAAACGATAAAAGAAAGAGAAGCTTTCCCTGTCAAAGTCAACGTGCTGCGTCCTCCACTTCCCTGCGTACTAAAAATCATACAACAATGCCATGTTCCTCTCTCAGTCCGCAAAAGTTTCCGGAACTTTGGGATGTGATGGCCGGACCAAAGCTGCAGCAGTTTAGTCCACACTCGAGACGATGGTGTGGAGCACTAGGTGAGCGCGGTGTTCAAATGTTAACCGAGCCTTAGTCAGTTCAGCGACTGTCATATCATAACGTTGATGGTGTCCGCAGAAGCTTTTTTATACACTATGTGACACTTTTCTCAGGTTGTAGACATATATATATATATATATATATATATATATATATATATATATATATATATATATGCTTAGCAACCACAACGGCGTCAAGCTTAACTAAATCTTTTCTTTTGGATAGATACAGTTGCGTCTAAAGTAATCAATTTAGTGAACCATAAGAAACAAATATCCACCCTTCATTGGTGCATAAAGCACATCATTCACTTTATTTAGCGTGGAAGATACGCGCATGGGTCGAACTAGCTTTTATTCGACCGAAGACAAAGGAAAGGGAGTACATTTATATTATGGTTTTAATGAAGGATCAGAATGATTACACGTGTAAATTTTACATGTATAAGTTTGTTCTCGTTTAAGGAAGTATTTATCCGGGTATAAACTGTGTGCTTCTGTCACAGTGGCTGAGAAGCTTTGCTTTAGATATCTAATCTGATGCTCTCCACTGTGTTCCGATGGTTCGATGCACGTGAAATAATAAAAATAAATCTCTCACTATATCGGTAAAAGTACGGAAAGTTCTTGACTCTCAATGTTATCTGTAGCACCCTACTGGTATAGTAAATTTCTCGATGTCATATGCTTGCAACCCTGGGCTTCACAAAAGGCATCGTTCTTGTCCGGACTTTTGAGTCCGTGCTACTCGGAGCTAGGAGTGGAATTCGGGACAAATGGCTAATGGATAGCCGCTGGCTCACTTGCCACCGCTCTCACCATATAGCACTTGGAATCGATTTTATGATTTCACCGTTTAGTGCTATGGTACTCTCCGTGTGTCTGGCTATGGACTGCTTAAGAGATCCCAACCATGTGTGTCGCTTCAACAATGCACCAGTAGTTTATACTGATTTTTCACTGTCATGCAACCGAAAAGGTTTGAAAGATCACCGACACATAACAGTGCTCCCAAACCCACGCTGGAGTTGGGGACTCGAACTCGGGATGGAGGATTTACTGGTTATAAGCCTGACCAACCAAACCATGGATCACATGAGAACTCTCCGGGTACTGCAAACCCATAACGATGAACTTTGGGTAGTGTCTATATTTTAAAAAGTGTCCAACAAATTGATCCAATCTATGTAACTGATGTGTCGCAACTGATGTCTGACCATACTTTAACTGTTGTACTGACTTCAACCATTTTTTTCGTTAAAATGAATGTGTATCTGTGCCTTAAGAGAGAGGGTTTTCATTCATCCAACAGACAACCAACGAAGAGGATTAATTGTGACATCCAAAGCTTTAAAAATCTACCCAATATTGGGGAAATTTTCGATATTGCTTACTCGTAACAATGATAGGTAGGTCATGTATCTCAGTGTTAGCGGTTAATGCTTTCACCGCCGGTCTACTAAGTTCTAGTGATAACGCTTTGCTAACGAATACTAACTAAATCTGAGTTTCCCGATTTGCGCTGGATACCCCTTTTGCACCGTATCACAATTGCGTTAATGTACCACTTCTTTCGTAACCGACAATTCTGTTGTTGATTTTGAACAGAGCTTAGCGGCCGCGGGTCAATTCAGAAGTCAAATCAAAATTTAGCTGCGGTAATTTTACACCGCGTTTAAGCGATCGATTTAACTTACTGCCCTGTTTCCTTAAGTGCCCATGAGTGGTAGTTTCAGTTTAAACAGCCAAAGCTTCTTAACACCAATTGCTATAAGTTTGCTATCAGGTTAGTAGCAAGTTTCCGTGTTCCTTGTTTCGAACGCTGCACTATACGGCCGGTTTCATCCTGAGCATTTCAGGCTAACGGGCCATGGAATCCGCTTTGCACGTTCATGTGTACGCATCACTCATAACTAAGGAACGAGACCGCCTGCTCAGGCGTCGGATAAAGATCGTCATATACTATCTGACTCCCTGGACTAGCGATATATTCTGGGCCGGTAGTATGGCACTGAACACAATTCATTTATGATTAGCGGGTGCACAATACACAATAGTCATGAAGACTGGTTCTGACTTCTGATACAGCCTGGTTAAAAGAACTCATATTAGGTTTGCAGGAAAGCTAAAAGTTTAGTTATTCTGAACTAAACATATTTCAAATCCCAGAAATTTATTCCCATTTTAGGCAACTCAGATGTTATGCCTTCGTCTTACTGCTAAAACGTTTGTGCAGTGAAAGGTCCAGTAGTGCATTTTTATATGCAGCAATGGACCCACGGTGATTGGCAAGCAGTCTTTTGCTATCCTTGTTTCTTTTGATATCACACCATTGCTTCTTATACTAATTGTAATATTGTTGAAAACTTGCAGAGAAACTGCGCGCTCTGCTTCACACCCCGTCGCGAAAGTCGTATTCATCCGATACACGCTACCGGATAAAACCCGGAGATCTGAAAATCATTCCCTCACCATCGTCCATTATACCAACGAACACAGCTAAAATGGACACTCTGCGAAGATGTCAAACAAAACTTCCACACATTCTACCTGCGTCTGTAGCCAAAACACAACCGTGAGTTGCGCTCACTAAATAGTTTTGTTCATTAGATGATTGCGGTTGGCGCAGTACGAGCTATATAGTAGAGAACCCGAAACCGACTGTAAACGATGACATGAATGAGATGCACAAAATATTGGGGAAGGCCAGATTGCACGTGTATTATTTTAAATGTATCTATGATGTCTGGAGAGCTTGTGTGGAGCGGTAGAATGGCGTGTGGTACCAAACTCACCTGAGAAGGAGTATTTGTGGGAACTTACGTGTATTAAAGCAAGTGATGACTGTGGACTGCCAGCATGAACAAAATGTCAGTCTGACAAAACACTTACTATAGTACACTGGGGAAGATTCGTCATGGCCAGACATCGTTATCATCATCATCAACAGCAGTACATCAGCCATTTGAACTGATGCTTCGCCGACGTACAACCATGAGGACCTATGAAATAAAAAATTATAACAGGGAGAGAAGGGGAACTTACCTGAAAATCTTAATGCCCTAAGCAAACATTCAGGATCAAGACGCCTACATCTTGTGTAGACAACATACTGTCACAAACAGCTGGCTGTTGTGCAAAGATAAGGCGGCATCGGCGAGACAGCTTCCTCGCGGCTTTCAGTGCCACGCGTCATAACCAGCCATTACCCCGCAGATAACTCAGCACCAAACACACTTTAAACTGGCAATCCGATTAGGAGACGGCAGCAGACGCGCCACTGGTGTCGGTTGCGAGCCATGTCTTGTAAAGTCTCAAGCCAAGCACAAGGTGAGTCCCGTGGACTCCAGGCCAGAAGGCGAGACGGACCAACGGCACCCAGTTTGGTCGTCAGTGACTTCATTTCCCGCTGCCAAGTCAACTTCTGTCCGCCTCCAGCGTTGTGCCACCCTACACGTGGCAGACTAAACAAGGATCTCATAGGTAACAGGTGACCAGGCATGCATAGCACGTGCCCGAGCCAACGCAACTTATTCAGTCCTATCTGTTGTTCTAGGGTGTTAGCATGATTATCACCACCTAGTGCTCGCCTACGCACATCATCGTTGTGGACACGCTGGTGCCATCCGGCACCAGCAATGCTTCGCAGACAACGATGATAAAAGACTTGTAGGCGACTCAGATCTTCACACCGAAGGGGCCAAGTCTCACTACCAGAGAGAAGGACGGCCCTAACTGTGACCTTGTACACACGGCCTTTCAGACGGAGGGAAACTCCCTTTTATCGCCAAAGATGCCGCAGGTTCAAGAAGGTAGCGCTGATTTTTGCAATGCGTGAGCTGACGTCAATTTCTGTGCGCTCATCATTGCTGATGCAGTTTCCAAGATAAGGGAAATGATCAACCACCTCAAGTTCCTCGCTAGCAAGCGTCAAGTGGTCATCAAGTGGCTGGTGGTCCTGCAGCAACACTTTGCACTTTGAGGATGCGAAGTGCATACCAAATAATGGGACCACTCTGGACAGGCTATTCAGGGTTGATTGTGCCGCCTCAACATTGTGGAAAAGCAAGACGATTCGTCCGCATAATCTAGACCAACTAATCTTTTTACAAGGCAGCACTTCAACGGCCACATCGTGAGATTCCGCAAGGGAACACCTCCTGATAGAATGCACGATGAAATCAAAACAAAAACGGGGAAATTGGACAACCATGAGGAACGCCACTTGCGGTCGAAAAGCTATCCGGTACGACAACACAGACCTTGACGCGGCCTGTAGTGTTCGAGTATAGAGCACGAAGGATGTTCACATATTTCGTGGGAACACCTTTCCGCGCAAGTATTTCGGACAGAATCGATCGATCGACTGCATCGAACGCTTTCTTGAAATCGACGAACGCGGCTGTGGTCGATCTGCGGTACTTGTTGCGCTCCTCTAGCACCTGCCTCAAAGTGAAAATGTGGTCTATACAGCCACGTCCCGAGTGGAAACCGGCCTGCTCTTCCCTACTCAGAGATTCCCGTTCCGAAGTGAGGCAACAAACAAGCATCGAGGCCAGTAATTTGGTGACAATTGGAGTTAGGCTAATACACCTGTGGTTAGAACAGGCTGTGCGATTGCCCTGCTTGTATATTGCCACTATAATCGATTGACCCCAATTAGCCAGGACACTCTCTTCCTTCCAGATACGTTCGAATAGGGAGGTCAGTGCTTTGCAGAGGACCTCATCTCCATTCTTAAATAGCGCAGATGGGAGGGAATCCGGGCCAGCGGCACGAAAACGATTGGGGGCTGTGATGGCGTTTTGGACCTCGACCTCTGACGGAGACTCTAAACTAATCGTCCGTGGTTCTTCCTGTATCACCTGACTAGGAATTGGTCCTGGAACAGCCAGACAGCCACCACCCACCCAAGAAAGCGCTACACGACCGTTTCGCTATATCGCGACTCCTCAGTACCGCGCACCTGTCAGACCTTGCCGGATTCGAACCCATGGTCTTATTCTTCCCTGTCAGTGACGCATGCTACAGAGCCATGCTTGACAGTGGCAAACGTCGCTGGCTAGTCCGTCATACTGTCATGCCCTAGAACCCTGGCAACTAGTAGCTTTCGATGGATAACTCAGGTATGGGATAGGAAACAACTATTGATAAACTAGAATATGACAAAGTAGGAGTGCACTCCTGTGTCACGAGTAAGACTGATTAGAATCTTCCGGGTACAAAATTGTGGCTGGTCACTTGTTGTTTTTTGGGTGTGGACTTGCATGTACCATCACTGGGTCGTTGGGACAGTCACCTATTTATAAGGTGCGCCTGGAAAGTCCGATAAATGTTCCCGGCTTAGAAGACGAGTTTATTAGGATGACGGGCCAGCGCATTCGCGTTACGATACACGCCAACAAGCCTCCTACATCATACAAATGGCTGAGGTGAAGCAATAATGCATGCTGCGATCAAGCTAACGGAGTCACTGTGCAAACTCGTGACATCGGTGATTGGCAGATCTCATCGGTAATGGGCATCACACTTTGTGGCCGCACTTTAACTCGGCTCTTACTTTGCCCTCTGTGGCCACTCCAACTCTTCCAACACAATATTGTGCGTGCCCTCGTTCGAACCAGTTCGACGAGCTCTACTCAGTGCTTCCCAACTCTTGGATCTAACCTATGTGGATTATACTCTTGCTCCAGTTCCCAGTTTTCGGCATGTTCTTTGCATAGTTCCACTTGTGTAACTACATCAAACCGGCTTTTCGGAAAAGATTTTGGTCTCATTCGGAAGAAGAAGCTGAGGGCTCCCAAGCTACGCAGCAACCATCCCTGCAAGTTGCAGCATAACAAAGTTACAGCCTTTTGCTCCGCTCATCAACTGAGCAGCTCTAGGGACGATTATCAGCGCTCCACCTGCATCGTCGCTTAAGGTAGGCCGATTAACATACGCTGCCGCTTTGTGTGGGTATGTGTTCAACTACGAGTCGATTGATCGCTGAACCCGACAGTCTGCGCTTTACGACCTCCATCTGTCTCTACTACCTGACCTTGGTGCGGTTGAACAACTCTCAATTCGTGCGCGTGTTCTGACCTATTTGTACGTCACGCCGGGCGCAGAGAACACTCATCAAGGTGAGCGCTTAGATAGGCCTTGCTGTAAACAGTAAGAGGACGACTATCATTCCAATGGTTCAACGTCGTCTATGCTGCGCAGACAATTTCAGTAAAATCCTTAAGATCAGTTTAACCTGTTCTAGCTGCATTAGACCATGCTGTCCGCAATGTACAGGCAAATCCATCCAAGAAGTGAGACAGTCAAACCAAGTTGCGTCAGCAACTTGGTTTTGCCCAACATGTCAAGTCATTCCAGTTGTCAACTGTATATCTTTGTTACTGAAAACGTGCGATAGGATGACTGAGATAATCGCGTATTTTGTAAATACTAAGCTCGATCCCACGGAGGTAAATATGGCCACGATAATACCTCACCCAGCCAAAGTAAGCTCCGAATCTAAGCCGAAGAAGAGAGCTAGACGCTCCGACTGCGCTGCAGCGTTAGTGACTCAGAATCCACTGGGTCATCTCACTCCCATAAGTGGGCAAACCCAAAACATGCTTGCTTCCAGCTCTCTTACCATAGACGCTTCACTTGGAGATTCAGCCATGACACCGACAGCTCAGAGCCAAAGGCAATCCGGTGCAGATAACAAGCAGATAACATACGCATCGATTGCCTCGACAAACACAACGAGATTGACAAAAATAGGCCCAGCTTCTGTACAGAGCACGCTTGGATCAACGCAACTTTCATCGACAACTCCAGCGGCGGATTCTAAACAACCCAAATTGCCGGCAAAATTTAAAAATCAGATAGTCGTTCACATGCCCGGAAATGCACTAGACTGCAGTTTCTGCCTGTCGCGCATCGTCAGTGGTGCGCATCTATCGGATCCATCAGGATTCGAACCCATGACCACTAGCGGCTTTTAACCGCCAGTCAGCAGCTTATGCCACTGGGCCACGGGGGACAGCTTCGGACCGTCATGATTTACAAGCTAACTGCGAAGAACCTCGAGTGGATTCATGTAAGTCCCCTACTCATGTGTACAACATAATATATCCGCCATGACGGTTGCTGAATGCCATGTCGTACATAGCTACTGTTAGTGGACGTCGTTTTCGGGGCCAACCCTGTCCTTTGCAACGTTCGTAACTTGCATGACAGTGGAGGATAAGATGCGCTATATCGCAGTTAGCTTGTAAATCATGACGGTCCGAAGCTGTCCCCCGTGGCCTAGTGGCATAAGTTGCTGACTGGCGGTTAAAAGCCGCTAGTGGTCATGGGTTCGAATCCTGATGGATCCGATAGATGCGCACTACTGACGATGCGCAACAGGCTGAAACTGCAGTCTAGTGCTTTTCCGGGCATGTGGACGACTGTCTGGTTTGGAAACTGTCTGCAAAATACCACAATTAAGAAAATCAAGATGGCCGACACTCGCTTGACAAAACCACGCTGCGTTAATTCTCGTGTGCACCAATGTTCCCGAATAAAAATTCGGCACAATTAAAGGCAAGTTGCAAGA